ATTCGCATCTCCTACCCAAATGACCAGGATCAGATGCGTGCGGAAAAGAACAATCACAGTCCGGGCGGCGACATCTTCATCCATGGTCTGCCTAACGGGGTTAACCGCTTAGCGAGAACATTTCGTGGTCGAAACTGGACAGATGGATGTATTGCAGTGAACAACAACGACCACATGGATGAGATCTGGCAACTTGTGAAAGACGGTACCAGGATCACCATTCGACCCTAACGTAGTTACCCTACCTTATCTAACTCTGCTTTAATCTGCTCAGCTTCCGCCACCAATATCGCATTCTGCCTGACGTCTCCGCGACGCATAGCGTGCATGGCGGTTTCCATCTTCTGCTCATAGGCTTTCTGGAGCTTTTTCCTGGGGTCACGCTTGAATAACGGCATCGTTTGATCCTGGGTTTAAAAGTTGGGTCTTTATGCAAATAGTTCTGGTTTAACAGGCGGTACAGTTCAACAGATCCACTGTGAATAGCTTGTCAAAACTCCAGCGCGATTTTCCACTAGCAGTGGCTTGATCCTTTTTGAGCGGTGCGCCAACTGGTAAGAAGGGAACACCTGGAGCACTACTCCGACTCGAAAAATTGTCCTGACAGATCGACCAGGTCTATTTTCATCGAACCACGGTTTGCAGATGAATTCGACATAGAGGATATTGTTAGGCTAATTAGACTCGTAATTGAAACCACTGGAGAGAGGTAACATGGATATAGTCAGACTTCTGATCGCCGTGGTTATCGGCATTGTTATTGGCAGCGCCGTGAACATGGGTTTGATTCTGCTCGGGCCGTCGACTATTGCCGCGCCGCCTGGCGTCGATATGAGCACCACTCAAGGCATGCAGACCGGCATGTCATTGTTGTCTGCAAAACACTTTCTGTTCCCCTTCCTCGCACACGCCTTTGGCACTTTTGCTGGTGTTCTAACGACCTATCTGATAACCCGCCTGTATCGCAGGCAAGCCGCCTGGGGCGTTGGTTTGTTTTTTCTGGCAGGGGGCGTAGTTGCAGCCAACCTGATTCCTGCACCTGTGTGGTTTATTGTTGCTGACCTGGTGCTGGCGTATGTGCCGATGTCCTGGCTCGCCATCAAGCTTGTTGATAGACGTTCAGATCATCAGGAGAACATGAGCCTCTAGATCTTACCGCGCGACGCTGCCACTCCGCTTCCTTCAGCAATGATCCAAACCGCATTAGGCAGGGTGACTTTAACCGAATCATGTCCGGACGCGTCTACTTCTGCCTGCTCAGCTTCCAAAAGCGCCAGCAGTTCCCCAACCGCGACCCTGCGCGCACGTTGCGTTTGCTTGCCCGGTCGATAGGCCAGTTCAACCTCAAGAGGTAGCATCTGTTCGCCAGACCGGGCAATAAATGCAAATTTCATTTTAGTTCTCCAGTTCTTGGATTAGTCTATACATCGCGTTAAAAGCTTGGCCAACCATGATTCAACTCAGATACATCGCCAATGACGTAGACAGTTCGATTGAATTCTACAGTCACTCGCTTGGCTTCAAGCTGTTTTCCCCTCAAACAAAGTGATTCGCCCTTACCAGGCTGCCGACTTACATCCAACGGCACAAGTATGGTTCAACGCCGGTATCAAAGCCTATCCTTATCTGCCGGACTTTCAGGCACTCACACCTGCCAGAGCTGAACAGGTTTTTGCAGAGGTTATTGCGGGGCCAGACGAAATATGGGTCTTTGAGCAGAATGCACAAGTCTGCGGCTTTATCGCACTGCAGGACAGCTACATTGATCGGCTCTATGTAGATCCAGGGCATCAGGGAAAGGGTATCGGCTCGAGGTTGCTGAATCACGCGAAAGCACAACATCCAGCTTATCTCAGCTTGCACACTCATCAAGCCAATCAGGCAGCACGTGTGTTTTACGAACACGCACACTTTGCAGTACACAAGCTGGGAATGAGTCCCGCACCCGAAAACGTACCTGATGTTGAATACCGCTGGTTTGGCGAAGGGCACAACGCGGAGTGCTGATCTGATGCACATCTCAAACCTGATCCACCTCGCCGTGGTAGCTGCGCTGTGGCTATTCCTATCTGCCTATTTACGCAGAACCAGCGCCACTCGTTTTCGAGCGGCACTGCGGATCCTGCAGATACTGCCCATCATGTTTGCGCTCGACATCGCTGTGGGCTTTATTGTTGTTGATTCAATTTACGGGCCTAATCAATCTGCCAGCTGGATTTCAAAAACCGTCTGGATCTATCCCAGTCTGTTTATACTGTCGTTGTGGCGCTTGCTTCGCGCGCGCCCTGACAAAGTGTAAGTCGACAATTCACAAACAAAGAGACACAAACAATGCCGGACTCAGAATCAACCAATATTGAAACCATCACCAAGTTCGTGGCGGCCTGGTCGCGGCTGGATGCAGAAGAGCTTGCCAGCTATTTCGCGGAAGATGGTTGTTATTACAACATACCTACACAGCCTGTGCGCGGACGTGATGCTGTGCTGGCTTTTATCAAAGGTTTCACTGCCAATTGGACCAAAACCCAGTGGGATATCATTCACATCGCTGCTGCGGGGGATGTCGTTTTCTGTGAACGTCTAGACCGCACAGAAACCACCGCGGGGAATGTCGATTTGCCGTGTTTGGGCGTGTTTGAAATGCAGGATGGTAAGATCAAGGAGTGGCGCGACTATTTCGATCTACAGACGTTTATGGGTGCAATGTCAGGCAGTCGCTAAGCTGTATGAAGAATCGTCGAATAGCAATCATCGGGAATTCGGGATCAGGCAAATCTACACTGGCACAGCAGATTGCGGCACAGCTTGAATTGGAAGTGCTCGACCTGGATACCATCGCCTGGCGCACCGACAATCCCACTGAACTGGCATCGACAGAAACTGCCGTGGCTTGCCTGCAAGATTTCTTCAACAAACACCCAGCGTGGATCATTGAAGGCTGTTACGAACACCTGATCGGGCCAATACTAGACGGCTCAATCGAACTGGTTTTTCTTGATCCGGGTGAAGCTGCTTGTATCGAGCATTGTAAAAACAGGCCGTGGGAGCCGCATAAGTACACCAGCAAAGCGGAACAGGATAAGAACCTGGAGTTCCTTCTGAGCTGGGTAAAAGAGTACTACCATCGCACCGGTACGATGTCGCTACATGCACACCATGCCTTGTACACATCCTACGACGGTCCTAAACAACACCTTTTTTCAGCATGCCAATTCTCATAAGAGCTGCGCAGCTGCAGGATGTCGAACACCTGGCGCCGATCGAGCGCGCTGCAGAAACGCTGTTTCCAGCTGGACTGCTACCGGAACCGGGTCATGTTATTGACATAAGCGTATTTGAAACGGCCGTTGAGGCTCGACATCTGCAGGTAGCCGAAGTCGACGGCAGCGTTGTTGGATTTGCACTGTGTAATCTGCTGGGTGAATACCTGCACCTGCATGAGATGTCGGTGCACCCTGATTTTGGCAGGCGAGGCATTGGCCGCGGGTTGATTGAGGCAACAAAAACATCCGCCCGGGACAGCGGGTTACCAGGCGTCACCCTCACGACGTTCAGTCATATCCCGTGGAACGGACCATTCTACGAACGCTGCGGCTTTGTAACACTGACCGAAGCGCAACTCACCCCGGACTTAACAAAGATACTCCAACAGGAAGACACAGACGGTTATATCAACAGAGTAGCGATGCTGGCCCGGTTGCCATAACACTCAGGGTTTACCTTGTGTAGATATCCGCTCAGTATATAAACGAGCCTAATAACGCAGGACTGAATATGGATCCACAGACACTCAGGAGCCAGCACGACGTTGAGCTGTTTAACACGCTGCTAAAAGACTCAGATGTAATGCGCGTGAACGAACAGATTGCCAAACAGACCGAGAAAGGTAACCTTGGTGTACGTCGTCATCTGCTCTCCACCTCTGTGCGACTGAGTTCCGCCATGGCAAAGACGTTGCACGCTACTGCAGACGAGTGCCGGGAGAAATTATCTCTGGACATTCCGTTAGAGCTTTATGTATTCCCCAGCGCGAGCTACAACGCCGCCTGTGTAAAACCGGAAGCTGGCCGTCTGTTTATCATGTTCAGTTCTTCTATTCTGGAAGCTTTCAGTGAATCCGAAATTCGTTTTGTTATGGGCCATGAACTGGGCCACCATCTGTTCCATCATCACGACATTCCCATCGGCTACATTATGCGCGGCCAGAACAGACCCAGCCCAAGGCTGGCACTTGAATTAACCAGCTGGTCACGTTACGCAGAAATTTCCGCAGATCGGGCCGGGGCGCATTGTGCCAACGATCTCGAATCGGTAGCGCATGCGCTGTTCAAGCTGGCGAGTGGATTAAGTGGACGATATGCAGAATTTTCCCTGGCGGATTTCCTCGCTCAAGTAGACGAAATGCAGCTGGAAGAAGCTCAGCCCGGCCAGGGTGCACCGATGGAAGACTGGTTTCTCACTCACCCGTTCAGTCCGTTACGGGTAAAAGCGCTGAAGCTTTTCCACGAGTCCATCTTAGCCGATGGCGGAAGCATGGATATTAATGAGCTCGACATGGGTGTTGAGAGCCTCATGAGTCTCATGGAACCCAGCTATCTTAAAGGCAAAACCGACACCGCCGAAGCGCTGCGCAGATTATTGTTTGCAGCTGCCATCGCCGTTGCAGATGCCAGCCAGGGCATTTCAGAAGCTGAAGTAAAAGTCTTTGAAGAATTTTTTGGTAAGGCGGCTTTTTCCGAGCGCCTGAATACCGAAGCCCTCAAAGCCGAAGTGGCCGCACGCATTGAACAGGTCAACGAGTCCACCTCGATCCCGCAGCGGATGCAGGTGGTGAGAGACTTGTGCATCATGTCAAAAGCTGACGGCCGGACCACCAAAGAAGAGCGCAATACGCTCTACGAGATTGCAAGCGCGCTACACATCACTCCGCTGTTTGTAGACAAGACTCTCGACGCTGACCCGGAACTCGACTGATCACCAGTAAATAAGGAAATTTCAAGATGACCGTCTACGCCATTGCAACTCTTAACATCCATGACCGCTCAACCTATGCCAACTATGAAAGCGGTTTCATGGCAGTGCTGGAAAACTATGACGCCAGAGTTCTTTCTGTAGATGAAAGCCCCTTAGTGCTGGAAGGCCAATGGACCTTCACGCGCACTGTCATCGTGGAGTTTTCCGACGCCGACGAGCTGCAGCGCTGGTATAACAGTGATGGATATCAGGCGATTCTGACACATCGCAAAGCAGCTTCTGACGGCAATGTTGTGGTGGTGAATGGATTGCCGGCATGACCGCAAGCCAGGATGCATTTTCATCTTGCGCAAAAGCACCCTATGTCAGTTTACGAACGTTTCGTAAAAGTGGCGCGCCTGTTGATACCCCTGTCTGGTGCGCACCCGAAGGGGAGAAGCTGTATGTCTTCAGCGCCGGCGCTGCTGGCAAAGTAAAACGTATTCGCAACAGCGCAAGATCAGAAATCTGCGTTTGCGATGTGCGTGGCAAAGTACTGGGGCCGTGGTTTAGTTGCTCCACCATCGAAGTCACAGACCCGGAGCGTACGAGGCAGGCATTACACGCGCTGAACCGCAAATATGGGTGGCAAATGAAAATTGCGGATTGGGGCGCCAGACTGACCGGAAAGTTTTCTAAACGTGCTTACTTATGTATAACGATTGAATAGCTTCACCGCTGGTTGCTATATTCAGACCCTGATTAAATTGAGTTACATCATGAAAATAAAAATTGCCCTTACTCTGACCGCTTTGCTACCCGTCTCAGCTTTTGCCCATGATGGACATGGCAGCAGTCACGCACATTCGCTGATGCACTATCTGACAGAACCCTTACACCTGATACCTGTTGCGGTCATTGCTGTTGCGGCCTGGTATGTGTGGCGGCGTAAAAAAACCAGCTAGCTCACAAATGCCTGATTTATGTTATCTGTGCCTGGCGGCACCAAAGGCTGTCGCTGTGCCCGCTTATAACATCACCGTCTGCACCCAGTGCTGGTCTAACGCCGAGTTCGGCTGGCCGGTTGGCTTTGAACCCAGTCTTTTTGATGCGCTGAAGCGCGGCGGATTATTGATCCCTGATCGCAACGATCAGGGCAGACTGCCGCGGCAGTACCAGCCCCCGGCAGACTTCCAGCTGTAGACTTCTATCAGCGCGCGGTTTGTTCGTGCACAAAATCAACCAGGAACTTCACATTGTCTACCGGCGTTTCGGGAATGATGCCGTGGCCCAGATTAAAGATATGGCCGGGGCGGTTTGCGACGCTTTTTAATAACTGCTCGCTTTGTTTGGCCACCGTAGCCCGGTCGGCACACAGCACGATCGGGTCGAGATTACCCTGTACCGCTGGAATGCCCAGTGCATCCCAGGTTGGCGCCAGCGGTGTGCGCCAGTCGAAAGCCAGCACATCAAATCCTAATGGTGCTATTTCAGGTAACAGATGGTGGTTACCCGTGCCAAAGTAAATCACCGGCACCCGACCTTTCAGCTGCGCCAGCATCTTCTGTAAATGGGGAAGAACATATACCCGGAAGTCTGAAACCGACAGGCTGCCAACCCAGGTATCAAAGATCTGCACGGCTTCTACACCTGCTTCAATCTGCAGATGCAGATAGCTGACCAGTTGCTGCACCAGCTTGTCGAGCAGCTGATGCCACAGCAATGGCTGTTCATACATCATTTTTTTCACAAACACATAGTTGCGTGAACCTTTGCCTTCAATGGCGTAAGAAGCCAGGGTGAAGGGCGCACCGGCAAAACCAATCAGCGCGATATCGGCAGGCAGGTCCTGCAGGATATTTTTTACCGTTTGCGCTATGTAAGGTGTTGCCTCTTCTGCGGGAGCGTTAATTAAAGACTGCACATCTATTTCACTGCGTATCGGATTATCGAAAACAGGACCCGCTCCAGGTACGTAATCCAGGCGCAAGCCCATAGGTTCCATGATGGGCAGCAGATCAGCAAACATGATGGCTGCATCAACACCCAGGATACGCTGTGCATCCAACGTGGCTTGAGCGGCTTTCTCAGGATTTTTGAAAAAGTCGAGACTGGGCGTATCCCCTTTCACCTGATGATACTCCGGCATATAACGGCCAGCCTGGCGATTCAACCAGATGGGTGTGTGAGGCGTCGGCTCACCCCGACAGGCAGACAAAAATACTTTTTCCATGAGACTTCAATGATTTACGGCGGCCGAACCTTAGCAAAGCTGGGCTGCGCAACCAACTACTTGTCGAACCGGAAAAGTGGCGCAGAAATCACCTCGCAGCGGCCGAAGCCAGACAAATTGAGCTTTACCGGCGATGTCTGCAGTCCGCGCTCATGGGTGAGCCCGGCGGTTGTTGTGTCCAGCAACAGGCCGCCATGGCCCGCAGCGCTGCGCTGCAGGCGATTCGCCAGGTTCACGGGTGCACCAATAACGGTGAAATCACGCCTGGCACCGCCCCATTGGCCTACGTAACAGTGACCTGAGGCCAGGCCAAGACTCAATTTCACCTTGATTGTGCTGTATGACTCAACTGGCCCGGCCTGAGAAAATTTGTCCGGCAGCAACTGCGCACAGCGCAGGGCCTGTCGAGCAACGTTGGCTCGACACTGCTCAGGCAGGCAGGGAAAAACACAAAGAGCACCATCCCCTAAGAATTTGGTCACCGAGCCACCCCACTGTTCAGCGGTTTCATGCACAACATCAAAAAACTGGTTCAGCAGATCGGAAAGATCTTCCAGGGGCAGCGCCTGAACACTGTGCGTAAAACCAACAACGTCGACAAACAGGACACTGACCCACTGCCGTTGAAACGGCAACGAGGTTTTTGTATTCAGGTGGGCAGGCAATTCTTTGGGTAAATAGCGAAGCAACAGATTTTTTTGCTGTTTCAGCATTAAACCGTAATTCAGCTGCTGGCGAACCTGGTGGTGGGCAATGCTGCAGATCACCAGCATAAAAATAATGCCGCTCACTAGGGCAATAGCAGCTACCCAGGTATCGTTGACGAAGTTGAAGCCGACCAGATTCTTGAACAACCAGGCACTCATCACCCCGCAACCCAGGACAAACAAACACCAGCGCCCGCCCCACAGCGTGGTATGGCAGACCAGCACCACCAAAAGGAACGATGCCACCGCCACTGCGGGCAGGCCTGCCGCAAGCGCAAGCATAAGAACCCACAACCATTCCATCAGGTACAGCGCCTGCATCGTGACGCGGTGAATCGTGTGTTGCAGCAGCCACTGGACAATGACTGCCTGAACAAGGCAAAGGGCAAGCCAGTTGATGGCAAGATTACCCGCGCGATAGCTCTGCATAACGATCAAGCCACCAAAAACGGTGTATATCGCATAACGACAGAGCGCCACAGCGCGCTGCAGATCGGGTGTTAAATATATTTTTTGCACCTGCCTAAAGTGGCAGGTTCATGTCATGGGCAAAAGCACCCGGCGCGGCTGTTGGCGTGGGTTTTAGACTTCACGCCCCAGGGTAGGATCGACATCAGCATCGTAATCCACACCCTCAAAACCGAAGCCAAATATTTTCAGAAAGTCTTCCTGATAACCTTCCAGGTCACCAAGAACGGGAAGATTTTCGGTGGTGACCTCAGGCCATCGCTTCAAGACTTCGCTCTGCACCCCTTCCGACAGCTCTATGTTATCCATGCGGATACGGCCTTCATCATCCAGGCGCAGCGGCTCGCCACCTTTTAACTGGGTCGCAAACATGCGGTGTATATGGCTGATGATGTCTTCATGGATACCCTGTTCTTTCATCACCTTGAACAGCAACGCAACGTATAACGGCACCACCGGTATAGCCGAGCTGGCCTGGCTGACAATGGCCTTGAGGACAGCAACCCGGGCATCACCATTAATACTGGCCAGCTTTTTTGCGATGGCGCGGCTGGCGCGGTCCAGATCGATTTTTGCCTGACCAAGGGTACCTTCCCAGTAAATGGGCCAGGTCAGCTCAGTCCCTATATAGGTGAACGCTACCGTTTTCGCGCCATCGGCCAACAGGTCTGCTTCGAGCAGCGCATCCATCCAGAATTCCCAGTCTTCGCCGCCCATGACGGCAACGGTATTTTCTGTTTCCTCAGGCGTTGCAGGCTCCAGATTCACCTGAACCACTTCCCCACTATCGACATGCACCGACTTGATGTCGAGGGCTTCACCCAGCGGCTTGATGGTGGAGCGATGCAATACACCGGTCCTGGGATGTTGGCGTACCGGTGATGCCAGGCTGTAAACAACCAGATCTATTTTTCCCATATCTGCTTTGATCGTGTCGATCACGGTGGCACGCATTTCATCTGAAAATGCATCGCCATCCAGTGTCTTGGCGTAGAGCCCGTCTGCACTGGCAGCTTCATCAAAGGCGATGTTGTTATACCAGCCCGCGGTTGCCGTGCGTTTATCAGTCGGGAGCCGCTCATAAGACACGCCCAGAGTATTTGCGCCGCAGCCGTAAGCAGCAACAATGCGACTGGCCAGACCATAGCCGCCGGAACAACCCAAGACCAAAACGTTTTTCAGCTCGCCATCAGAAACGGCGCCCTGGCCCTTTACGTAAGCTATCTGCTGATCAACGTGGGCTTTACAGCCAGTTGGGTGAGCAGTGGTACAGATGAAGCCGCGGATACGAGGTTTTACGATCATGATTGTTCTTATGACATGAAACTGGAAGGCGCCATGATACCTTGTGATACCGCCCAGCGCATGGTGCGCTCTATATCGATTACCCAGGGACCATCTCGACGGATACACACAGTAGCGCTTTCACCCTCAACAAGTTTGTGGTCGCGGTCGCCATCCAGGGCAATAACGCCTGGCCCGGTCATGGTGATTTCTTCGCCAAAAGCTACCCGTTCTACAGCAGTCACCCCTACCTCCCGGAATAATCCCGGCGACAAGGGTGCCAGTACCGGCTGCCCATCCGGGTCCATGGTCACCGCGAGGCCATAGTCGTCTTCAGCGTAAACCGGATGGAGATAACCGCCTATTGGTGACATACCAATGGACGCAGGCTCTGCGCGCGTCAGCAGCATGCGCCCAAGACGCTGAGCGTCGAATGGCAACAGGTTACCGACATGGTCCCGACGCAACAGAACCGCATCAATCAGACCCACGTCTTCAGCGTGAGGCGTTTTAACATGCAGTACCTTAACGCGCTGTTTCAAACCATTCGCCTCTGCATCCACCAGCTTTCCGCAGGCATTCAAACCAGCAACAATGCCAGCGACGGTAGGTTCCGCCAGCACCGGGAAAACATTATTTGTACCGGTAGACAGCGGCACCAGATCGATGTCCGGGGCGCCGCGAACAATGGCCCGGTTGGTGCCATCTCCTCCTAACGATACAAATGTGTTGCAGCCGGCTTCACGAAACATGGCCATGGAGCGTTCTGTGTCTATTGCATCATTAGCCAGTGGATGTTCAACCATATGCACGTTGGCCTTGAGCCCCATGTTGGCAAGCGCCATGGAAGATATCTGAAAAGGCTCTTTGGTGATGTAAATGTCCGTCACACCAACAGCATCAGCGCCAGCAGCGACCCGCGCAACAATATCGCGTTTGGCTTCATGGGTCATATTTGTGGCGCGCGCCGCAAGGCGTCGCACATCACGTCCTGACATCGGGTTTACTGCCAACCCCAGCTTTCCGTTACTCATTCAGCCCTCAGATAAGATTCTAGAAAGGCAAATCGAACTGCCCGGTCGTAGTCACGATTAATTTTTTTAGCAAAACCGTGACCTTCATTTTTACCTAATACATACCAGACCGGTGTTCCCTGGGCCTCCAGAGCAAGGCGCATCTGTTCGCTTTCTGATGCCGGCACACGCGGGTCGTTAGCGCCCTGAGATATCATGATCGGTGTGACCATTTTATCAACGTGATTGAGCGGCGAGATACTCTGCAGAAACGCGCGCATATCCGGATCGCGCTCATCACCATACTCAGCACGGCGGATATCCTGGCGATAGGCCTGAGTGTTTTCCAGGAACGTGACAAAATTAGATATACCAACCGAATCCACTGCAGCCGTCAGTCGCTTGCCGTATTTGACCATGGAAGCCAACACCATATAGCCCCCATACGATCCGCCAACCACCCCAACGCGCTGGTTATTCAGGTCTGGCTGTTTATCTATCCAATCCAGCAGCGCGCCAATGTCTTTGACAGAATTCTCGCGCAGCTTACCGTTGTCCATTTTCAGATAACTTTTACCGTATCCTTTTGAACCCCGCACGTTTGGCGCAATCAACGCCACGTTCATCTCGTTAACATATGACTGCACGGTGGTCGAAAAATAGGGCCTGTATTGCGCCTCGGGCCCACCATGTATTGAAATGACAACAGGATGTGGGCCTGGCGTGTTTGGTCGGTAAATAAAAGCAGGCACTTCGAGACCATCAAAACTGGGAAAGCTGATCAGCTCGGGCTCAACAAACCTGTTCGCGACCAAACCGCCCAGTTCACTGTGGGTCCAGCGTGTGAGGTCTTGTTGAGATGTATCTACCACAAAAACGTCTGATGGCGTTGTGGCATTGTTAAGGGTCAATGCAATCCTGCTGCTGTCCGGGGAAAAACTGGCTGCAGCAACAATGCCGGCCGGCAGCTGTGGTAAAGCAATGGCTTTACGGGTGGGCAGAGACCAGACTTTGAGAGTAGACAGCCCTGCCTCGTTGACGACAAACATCAGTTTGCTGTAATCCGGCGACAAATCAAATCCTTCCACGTCCCAGTTAATGTCGCGACTCACAACTTCAATATTTCCGGTCGCCAGGTCCAGGTATTTCAGGCGCAGGAATTCACTGCCCTGATCTGAAGTGAAATACACGCCACCACGACCATCGTAGAGGGCGTGTTCTATAGACACACCGCCATCCTGACCAAGAACAGGGGTGAGCTTCTTTGTCGCAATATCCAGCTCGTAAAACTTTGATTCGTTCACGGATAATCGATCTTTGACCAGCAGCCGCTTACCGTCCGCTGACCAGTCTCTAACAGACCAATAGCCACTTTCAGGTTGCATCAATGCATTGTCGTTGCCGTTCAGGTCCTGGTGATAGATGTCCCAGTTACGCCCATCACGCTTGGTGCTGACATACACAAAACTCTGGTTGTCTGGCGCCCAGATAACACCGGTGTAAAGCGAACGGCCATCACTGACACGCCTGGCAGAGCCACTTTTCATGTCATAGAGGAACAGTTGATCAAATTCTGAACCGCCTTCGTCCCAGCTCAGCATGACCGTATCTGTAGCCCCGCCACGCGGCAGATACACCGCACCCAGAGGTTCTTTCAAAAACGTCAGCTGCTCACGATACGCCAGCGGCCTGGCCACACGATGCAACTGCGTGGCATTGGCAAACCGCGTGTAAATCAGCAGTTGATCGCCCTGCCAGCCAGCCACAGATGCACCCCGGGTATTGGCGTACCTGGACAGTCGATCTGCGGTTGCCTGGGGCAGAGGAGGCACATTAAACGTCGCGATACTGGGTGGTATGGGCACAAAGTCCTGCCCCCAGGCCAGCGCACTTATGCCCAAGAACAGAATCGCCAGAACCAGGCGCTTCATTTGATCGATAAAAGGAGACATGATCTGTCGTACCTGAATTACAGCAACGCGCCACGTTAACAAAAACCATGTCGACAGCCAAAATATGTCCACATTTAGCCCGAATTCCAGACCTGGAAGTGCTGCTGGTCACGGACGCCACTGTGACTCTGGCAGATGCATTTGTTCAATGTCACATCTGCGAGCAGCATTACCTTCTTGAGCTGATTGATATGCAGGGCCCGGCCAGTGCGTTTCGAATATCTGCGCTACCGGCAGACGCTGCTACAGCGACGCTGCGATCATTAACCCGGGGGTCGTGTGACATCAATCGTGCCAGTGCCGAACTTACCCACATCCGTCAGATAGCAGAACAGCTGCCAGGTGTGCTGATGCGAAATGAGTCGGATTCGGCGCAAGCGCTCTGGCATTACGTGGCGGATACAAGGCATGTGAAGATACCTAAAGAGCACTGGCGCGACCTGCCCTGTAATGGTCAGATTATCGCAGCTCTAAAGGTCGAATAAACGCGGTTTAAACCACTTTGGATAACCCGCCATCCATATTGATTGCGCAGCCGGTGATGTAAGACGAGGCGTTACTGGCCAGGAAAAGCGCCAGATTAGCGCACTCATGCGCTTCACCCATGCGGCCCATCGGTAAGCGCTGACCAGCCCTGGCAACAAACTCGTCAAAGGATTCTTCTCTATGTGCTGCATCATATTGGCGTTGGATCTGGTCACTTTTTATGAAACCGATCAGCATCGCGTTGACAAGAATGTTATGCGGTGCACCTTCAGCCGCCAGCACCTTTGTTAACGCCATGCCCGCCGCTCGCGTCACAGACGTTGGCGCGGTACGCGCATCCGGCACTTTGGCATAAACATTCAGCAGATTGATCACGCGACCCCAGGACTGCGCCTGCATGTGTGGCCAGACTAATCGCGTCAGGCGTACTGCTGCCATCAACTTGAGATCGATATCGTTCTGCCAATCCTCATCTGTAATATCAGCAAAGGGTTTAGCCGCTGACTGGCCGGCGTTATTGACCAGAATGTCCACTGCCCCGAAACGTTCTACAACCGCTTTGTGCGTGGCGATGATGCTCTTTGCATCGCTGACATCACACGTAAACGCTGCTATCTCTCCACCGCTGCCGGCCGAAATTTCTTTCACAGCTTCATCAAGTGGCTCTTGGCGACGGGCCAGAATCGCAACCTGAGCACCCGCTTCGTAATAGGTCTGCGCCATTGCCTTGCCCAACCCTAAACTACCACCCGTGACCAGAGCCGTTTTTCCGCTAAGCGATGTATCCATTAAGCAGCCTCTTCATGTTGTTCAAATGGGTAAGTCATAATCTACCAGGCCCGCGCTGATGCCACCGGCAAGATAAGTTTGCTCAGTAAACTTCAGATTATCCGCAGACATGACAATAACGGTGCTGGCACGTGTGCCGTATTCATCACCGACAATAAAACAGGATGCCGTACGACGCTCGAGGGCAATAGGACGGCCACGATGAGGCAGGTCTTCGTCTGGCGGTATATCACTGTCGTGCAGCAAGCCAACCAGATCAGCCGCATCAAAATCTTCCTGCACAATATGCTTCAGGCCCTGGGCACCGCGTACACATTTTGGCCACTGAGCGCCCAACTCAGCGTTGCTCAACCCATAGTAGCCAGGCTCCAGTACCTGTGTGGCACTTTTGTTTGAGGTGTAAACCAGCTCGGTACCATCAAACAGCAGCAGATTAAAACCCGCGTAGTCGAGCCCATGAATATTGTGCGCGTAGTGCGCAGCCGGTGCGGTGCCGGTCAGAAAATCCTGCACCAGGAGCCCGCGAGACTTGGGCGCAGGTGCATCATCGGGACCGGAAAAATTAGTCAGCGCAGCAAACCGGCCGTTCAGCGTCGCCCCCAGCCAGGTTCCTCCAGCCACCAGGTCGCGGCCGGCCAGCACCTGTGGATGGTCCTGCCAGAATTGTGCGGCCGCACTTTCGCGCTGATGGAACTCATCTCGATTTGCGGCCACCACAAGCGGCATCTGCGCAGATACGCGGTAGCCAAACAGAATCAAACACATAATCGAAAAGCGTGGTAGTGGGCGGCCGGTGAGTGTACCAGGGGTGAAAAAAGATCACACAGTCACAGCCATTGGGTTAAGCTGCGCGCTTTTCCCGGCCAAGAATTTCCACCGTGTACTACCCCGAGATAGACCCAATTATTTTTGCCGTGGGGCCGCTGGCAATACGCTGGTATGGCTTGTCTTATCTGGCTGGATTCTTCGTAGTGTGGTGGTTAGGTAAACGTCGAGCGCAAACTCACCCGGGCGGCTGGACAGCTGAGCAGGTTTCGGACCTGGTTTTTTACGGCGCCATGGGTGCAGTCCTTGGCGGGCGGATCGGCTACGTGTTGTTTTATAACTTCGATGTCTTTGCGTCTGACCCGTTATACCTGCTGCGCATGTGGGAAGGCGGCATGTCTTTTCATGGTGGGCTGATCGGTTCTATCTGCGGCGTTGGTCTGCTGGCGCGCAAGACCCAGCGACGCTGGATTGATGTGTTGGATTTTCTCGCGCCGCTCACTCCTATTGGCCTTGGTTTCGGACGCCTCGCTAATTTCATTAACGGCGAGTTACCGGGTCGGGTGACTGACAGCGCCTTTGGCCTGATTTACCCCTGCCAGAATGTCATCGCCCTGAACCCTCAATGTGTGGGCCAGTGGGAAGGTGTGGCACGCCATCCATCACCTCTGTATCAGGCGTTTACTGAAGGTCTACTGCTGTTCCTGCTGGTCTGGTTTGTCTCCGCTAAACCGAAACCCGCCGGTTTTGTCGCTGGCGTGTTCCTCATGGGTTACGGCACTTTCCGCTTCTGCACTGAGTTTTTCCGTTCACCAGATGCACACATTGGTTTTGTCCTGTTCGAATGGCTCAGCATGGGGCAGATGTTATCGATCCCGATGGTGATCGCTGGTATTCTGTTAGTGGTCTGGTCACGCTCTCAAAAAACAGCGGCGACTCCACAACTTAAGTAAATCTCGAACGAGCAACAACGCCAACAATGCAACAGTATCTGGATCTTATGCGCCATGTGCGCGAAAACGGCACCTTCAAAGGCGATCGAACCGGTACCGGGACATACAGCATTTTTGGTCACCAGATGCGCTTCGATCTGAACGAAGGTTTCCCCCTGGTGACCACCAAGAAAGTGTTCATGCGCCTCATTATCCATGAGCTGCTGTGGTTTTTATCCGGCTCCACCAACATCAAATATCTGACAGAAAACAACGTTCACATCTGGGACGAGTGGGCTGACGAAAACGGCGAGCTGGGTCCGGTATACGGATCACAGTGGCGATCTTGGCCAACACCGGACGGCACGACCATTGATCAGATTGAACAGGTGGTCAACAGCATTAAAGAGAATCCGGACAGTCGGCGACATATTGTCAGTGCATGGAATGTGGCTGAGGTGAACAATATGGCATTACCGCCCTGTCATACCCTTTTTCAGTTTTATGTGGCGGACAATAAACTTTCCTGCCAGCTGTACCAGCGCAGCGCAGATATATTTCTGGGTGTGCCTTTCAACATAGCGTCGTATGCATTGCTGACCATGATGATTGCTCAGGTTACGGACCTGGAACTGGGCGATTTTGTACATACCTTTGGCGATGCTCACCTGTATGCCAATCATCTCGAACAGGCGGATCAGCAGCTGCAGCGCAGCCCAATGCCGTTACCCACGCTGATGTTGAACCCCGAGGTAAAAGATATTTTCAGTTTTCAATTAGACGATTTTAAGCTGGAAAACTATCAGAGCCACGGCGTCATCAAAGCACCCATCGCGGTATAACACCTTTGCTTATCTCCATGATATGGGCGATGGCGGAGAATCGGGTTATCGGTCGCGACAACTCCCTGCCCTGGCGCCTGCCCACCGACATGCGTCATTTCATGAGTACAACCATGGGCAAACCCGTATTGATGGGTCGCAAAACCATGGAGTCGATGAAAGCACCTTTGCCAGGCCGCACCAATATTGTCCTCACCCGAGACCTTAACTGGCAGCGTGAAGGGGCCAGGGTTGTACACAGCCTTGATGATGCCCTGGCGCTGGCTGAGCAACAGTGTCTGATTGACGGTCAGAATGAACTGATGGTTATCGGCGGCGCAGACATTTATGGCTTATGCCTGCCGCTGGCGGACAAGCTCTATGTCACCCATGTGTCCGGGCATCCGACAGGGGATGTGTTTTTCCCGGATATTGATTTAGACCAATGGGATTGTGTGAGCCGTGTTGAGCATGCGGCTGATGAGCGTCACTCTGCAGATTTTGTCATCGCGGAATATATCCGCAAAACCTGACAACAACGGTTCCTGCAAATATTCACTGCAGCTGATGGTGGGGCAATACCCGCGCCAGACCCGCATCACTTAACTGCTGATGCATATAGGTACGCACTTCTTCTGCCGTTTCCATCTTCAAAACACGGGCAAGCATCCGGCGCGCATCAGAGCGTTTGATCTGGCGTATCACCCATTTCACCTTGGGCAGGTGGGTCGCGTTCATGGAGAGTACGTGATATCCCATGGCCATCAGTAACACCGCGCCTGCCGGTGTGCCGGCAAACTCGCCACAGATACCAAGGCCGGTACCTTCCGCGTGCGCGGCTCTGGCGACCTCACGCAATGCGCCAATAACCGCCGGATGAACATCCTGATAGAGCTCGGCCACACGCGGATTGTTCCGGTCTACCGCCAGCATGTACTGGGTTAAATCGTTGGAGCCTACGGCCAGAAAGTCTGCCTCTTTGGCCAGCAGGCGTGCCTGGTAAACCGCCGCAGGGACTTCAACCATCACGCCAATCTCAGGCATTTTCACACCAGCGCCTTCTTCGACCACTTCGTCATAGGCCTGATGGATAAGGACTTTGGCGGCACGCAATTCACCCACGCTGGAAATCATAGGCAACATGATACGCAGCACACCTTCGAGGCCGGCATTAGCCTTGATCATGGCGCGCACCTGGACCAGAAAA